ACAAGACTCAATAAACGTCTGATAAATGACTGACCTTTGTTCAAGGAAGCAACGTCGTTGATTTTATGAGCTTTGAGCAGATGTTGGCTTCCTTCTTTCATTTTAGTGCCAGTACTGAGTCTTGAACTCAGGGCTGAGGCACTGTCCCTTAGCTTTTTTTTCCCCTCAAGATGGCAGCAGTCTACCGCTTGAGCCATACCTTCACTTCCAGCTTTTTGGTGGCTAATTGGAGATAAGGGCCTCATAGCTTTCCTGCCTGGGCAGGCTTTGACCTGAAATCTCCAGATCTCAGCCTCCTGAGTAGTTAGGATTACCAGTGCTTGTCCTTTTTAAAGGGGGTGGGGGAGGGAGGAAATTGTTTTTACTTTTTTGGGGACCCGTCATGGGGTCTGAACTCTGGGCCTGGGTGCTGTCCCTCAGCTCTTCAGCTCAAGGCTAGCACTCTACCACTTGAGCCACAGCGCCACTTCCGGCTTTTTTTTTCTTTTTGCTTATGTGGTGCTGAGGAATCGAACCCAGGGACTCAGGCATGCAAGGCAAGCACTCTACCATGGAGCTACCTTCCCAGCCCCTGTTTTTACTTTTGTTAAAGTTAATCCTAAGAATTCTTAAGATTTTTGGTGCATTATAAATGGCTTTTTTTCTTTTTGCTGGGCACCAGTGGCAACCTTTTGTAATCCTAGCTACTCAGGAGGCTGCGATCTGAGAATCATTGTTCAAAGCCAGTCTGGGCAGGAAAGTCCAAGACTCATCTCCAATAAACTACCAGAAAACCAGAAGTGGAGGTGTAGCTTAAGTGGGAGAGCACTTGCCTTAAGTTGAAGAGCTGAGGGACAGCACCCAGTCCTAGAGTTCAAGCCCCACAACTGACAAAAAAAAAAAAATTATTATTTTATTTTTAGGTTAGTCATTGCCAATATATAGAAACACAACTGTTTGCTGTATATTTATCTTGTATCTTATACCCTTACTCATTCATTAGTTTTGTTTTTATTAATTTCTTAAGACTGTTCTACATACAAAATTGTGTTACCTGAACATAGTTTTGATTTTTTCCTGTCAATCTGGATCTCTTCCACCCCCATTTGCATAGCTTAATCATCTTGGCTAGAACTTGGGGTACAGTGCTGAATGGGAATGCAGTGGCCTGCCTTGTCATGCTTCTGATCCTATGGGAGGAACATTGTGACACTATGAGTTTCTTATTTATGTTCTTTATTAGGATTGAAAAGTTGCTTTCTATTCCTATTTTGTTAAGGTTTTCTAACATCATGAGGAAACTGGCTTTGGTGGTATGTACCCATGATCCCTGAAAGATGAAGCAGAACTGCTTTTGCCCGGCAATTTGAGGGCAACCTGGAAAACTGTAAGAACTGGTCTCTTAACAGTCATGAAGAGTGTTGAGCTTTATCTTTTGTAGGACATCAACTGTGATGTGACTTTTGTCTCATTCTGATATGGTATATTACATCAGGTGATATTGGGACATTAAACCAACCTTGCATTCCTGGTATAAATTCCCTATCTATTCCCTATTCTATTTATATGCTCCTGGATTTGACCTTCTAGCATTTTTGTTGAGGATTTTTGCATTTTTTTTTATTTTTGCATTTCTGTCCATAAAAATCACTCATCCCAGTCAGGTGCCAGTGCTCCTGCTTGTAATCTAGCTACTCAGGAGGCTGAGATCTGAGGATCATAGTTCACAGCCAGCTAGGGCAGGAAAGTTTAGGAGACTTTTTTTTTGCTAGTCCTAAGGCTTGAACTCAGGGTCTAGGCACTGTCCCTGAGCTGCTTTTGCTCAAGGCTAGCACTCTACCACTTGAGCCACAGCACCACTTCGAGCTTTTTCTGTTGATGTGGTACTGAGGAATGGAACCCAGGGCTTCATGCTGCTAGGCAAGCACTCTACCACCAAGCCACATTCCCAGGCTGTGAGATTCTTATCTCCAACAAAGTATTTTTTTAAAAAGTTGGATGTAGAGCTGTGGCTCAAATGGTTGAATACTAGCCTTGAGCAAAAGAAGCTCAGTGACAGCACCCAGACCCTGAATTCAAGTCCTACAACTGGCAAAAAAAACAAAAACTTACACTATTCTGGACATTTCATATCAATGGAATCATACAATGTGATCTTTTGTGACCGGTTCTTTTTACTTCATGATGCTCAAAATACTTTATTCCTTAAGGCTGAGTAGTACTTCCATTGTTAGACCTAATCATTTTTCTGTTCCTAAGTGATGCTGATATTGCTGATCTTAGGAGTTCACTTTGTGAATGAGATGGAAGCCTCGTAGAGAACAACTGCCGTGGTCCTGTGAGAGGTGGTAGAGGCAGGCAAGCACCACTCTGGGTGCTGCTAACTTCCAAGCATGGCAATAAGCCAAAACAGGGAAAGGAGGTGGCTTCTCAGGGGGAAATCAGATCCACAGTTAATGATGAATGAGAGAGAGAGAGAAACAAGCATAAGGTCTTCAGTTCCATCCCTACCACAGTGGTATGTGCATGGGGAGGATGACAAATAAATACAAAGACAAGAAAACAGGAGCTACCATGGTTTTAATGCCCAAGTATCACAACACAAGGAGGAGGCCCAGCTGGTGCTTACCAAGGCAGGACTTAAAAGTGAAACCAGGCTATGGGTGTGTGGCCAACATGGGGTCCCTATACAGAGACCAGGTTCCCCTGGAGCCACCTCACCCTCGAGACCAATGACTCATGCCAGGCTTCTTCATCTCACCCATTCAGGAGCCAGCTGGCTGTCTGAGCTACTGGACACCATGGTTACTGAGGGGGCCTTGTAGAAGAACAGGTTCTCACAATACAGTGGGACCTTTGGATACAACAGAATCACAAAGCTGTTTCCAACCAATCCCAAAGGTTTTCACTTCAAATGCGTTAAGCCACATACACCTCAATGCTGGCACACCCAAACTCATTACAACACTGAACACTGTGTGGAAGGAAAGGGAGGTGGAGACTACATGGGAAGGGGAAACAAACTCGAACCAGTTTGCAAGCTTCCCCATCTCCCTCTTGCCTATAGCCACACTAGCTGATGGCAACACTGGGGAGGAAGAGAAGGAGCCACCAAGGAGAAGGCATGTTCTGGCATCTTCAGTGATGTTAAGAAATTTTGAACTCTGCTAACAACTTCATGCTACTACTTGGTGTCCCTGGGGACAAGTGACTTGGGGGCTGCTAATGGGGCTGTGAAATTGCCCTGTAGAAATCATTTCTCTTAGAAAGAAGAAACCATCTCTCTACTACACTGAAGTTCACATGACCCCTAAAGGAAACACCATTCACAATGGTATATTTATAGCAGTCTATGAACCTGGGAGGTCTTGTATCACTGTCAAGAAAGAGACCTGAGGCAAAGGCTGAATCTAGGGGATCTGGCCCCGTGGCCAGGGAGGGTTTGGAGGAGACAGCTGTTCATGAAGGCCCTGTCCAGCCCTATGGTTGCGTCTTTGGGGAAAGAGCTTGAAATTTAGCCAGACTTAGCATTAAAACTCATTCCAGATGGGTTCTGCAGGCCTCTTCTCCCTTTCTTCCAATGAAGTTCAAAGACATCTCTAGACAGAGTCCAAGGTATAAAAGCCAAGCATCTCTGCTTTGCGTTGGTTCAAAGTGAAATAGAAACCCCAGAGCAGTAACACCCCACTTGCTCCAGACCAGATCCCTTGCAACAGCCCCATCCTCACCCAAAAGCCAACAGCATTCTGGGTTTCAAAGTAGACTTCTAATGAGACCCCCAAGTGTGTGTGAAGAGACTACAAAGTCATTTCTATGAAGCATATGAAATTAAGTGGGAGCATCTTCGAGCTGCTGGCTATTCCTAGGAGGGGGCTACATGACCCTTCTCAGTTGGACATCAGCTCCCAAATGGCCACACCTCCAACAAAAGCCCACATTCCAAACTTCAAAATGTCAGCCAGTCAGCCTAGGATCAACCCAACCAGACAACTTCATATTTTAAATCAACTTAATGCTATAAACAAACAAAAGAAAGTGCTGCCCAACGGAGCCTCTGAGGAACCCAGCTCCCTGAGGGTAGGTGAGAGGCCACTTAGACCCTCACCCCTGGGTGCCTCTCTAGAAGGTGAGCAGAGCTGAATCCCTGCCCCAGCTGGGCTAAGGGTACTGAATACTATGGGTGGTCATTCCCTGTGGAAAAGGGGTGACACTAAAGAATCTTCCCATACCCCCAAAGCTAAAGAAGTTAACACCAGTCCATAATTAACTGTCAAGGCCTGGTTTGCAGTGAAGACTTTCTGTTAACGCTCTCCACACTCCAAAGCCCTGTCACCTCTGTCCTCAGAGGTCTGTGTGAGAGCTTGGAGGTAGACTGGGAATCCTTAAAGAATCAACCGTGGCCAAAGAAGAAAGGAAAAAAAAAGTCCTCCCAAGAAAGCAGGAGCAGCTCCTGGAAGCACTTCCTGTTCTTACCTCAACCTTGTAATAAGGGATAAGGGCAAGGTGCCCTCTGCAGCCAAGATGGCTGCCCTTGAACATCTGGTTTTGTCAACAGCTCTCTCTGCAAGTCCCCAGAGGGCTCTTACATTCTAAGGCAAGGGAGAGGTAAGGAATTCCATCAGACAGGAGTCACCTGAACTACATGCTCCCATTTCCACAGGAACCTACATGATGCCTTCCCCAAGGTAACTACTAGAACCTCTGGGATGGAGACCAGGGATCCCAGGCTGACACTTAGCTGGAGATGCCAGACAGAGCTCTGGAAAGGAAAAAGGGCCTGGCACATACTAGAATTATAAGACCTAAGTGCAATTAACATTCTAGCAAACTGGGCGGGCCCCCTCACAGACCCTGCTGTCACTGCTGTGGAGAGCTGCGCTTCTGGAAGCCCAGCTCTACCCTTGGACAGTTGGGCAGGGATGAGTGTGTCTGAGGAGAAGGCTTGCTAGAAACTAGAACAATCTCCCTGCTAAAATTCAGGGAGAACATAAAAAAATTCAACCTGAAATAAATACAAAGGTATTAAGTGCTTCTTGGAAAATCAAGGGCCCTACTGGCCTCTCAAAAGGAGGGGCAGGGCCTTTCCCTGAACATGGTCACCTGTACCTGTGGTCCTTCATGTGAAAGGTCAGAGGTCAGAAGAGGAAGAACAAGACCCCAACCCCTGACATGCTCCTCACCCATCTCCACATGGCCCAGCTGGCTTCTGCCAGGGAAGTTGGAAAGGAGAGGAGACCTCATACCCTGAGGGCAGTACCTTGTGTCCAAGGTCCCTTGTCAGTCAGTCTGTGAGGAGGTAGAGGTGGGGGGGAGGGTCTGCTGGGGACAGACAGGGTCACTCAGTTGATCAACAGGTCCCCAAGGTCATAGGAGTCGAAGAGGTCACTGATGCCTTCGCCCCCATCCAGGCCCCAGAGGTAGTCCTCCTGGTCCAAAGGCGGGGAGAAGCTAATCAAAGGGGAGCTGCAGGCCAGGGTTGGGGACAGCAACTGGTCCTCGGTCTGCTGCAGAAGTGGCTGTGGCAGCTCCAGCATGCTGTCGGTGGCCTCCAAGGGGACAAGGGATGGCGCTGGAGGTGGCAGGGATTGCTGAGGAGTCAATGCTAGAGCTGCAGAAAAACAGACAGGGGCCACACCCCATTCTCAGTTCTCCGGATGACTGTACACTGCCCTCTCCCACCTGCTCAATACAGAATGGCCTGGGGACAGTCTCCCCTTCCCTGCACAAGTCCCAGCAGTCTCTTTCTCCTGCTCTCTCCTGTGCCCTAAAGTGGCTACAATGCCCTCCTCTCAAAATCCACGCCAGTTTCTAGACCATGCCCACCCCTTTCACATTCAAGGTGAAAGGCATGCCCTCACTGCCTGCACCACTTGCTTGCCTTCCTTCACTGGAAAGGTCACTTGCACAGCACACACCTGGTCACTTCACTTTTCAAAAGCAACCTCCCCTAAGGGACAAGCCTTCTACAAATGGTTCCAGGAAACTGGGAACCCCATCCAGTTAGACCTTCATCTAACACCATACACAAAGTTAAATTCAGGGGCTGGGAAGGTGGCTTAGTGGTAGAGCGCTTGCCTTGCATGCATGAGGCCCTGGGTTGGATTCCTCAGCACCACATAAGCAAAAAGAAAAAAGCCGGAAGTGGGGCTGTGGCTCAAGTGGTAGAGCGCTAGCCTTGAGCTGAAGAGCTGAGGGACAGCGCCCAGGCCCAGAGTTCAGGCCCCACGACCGGACCCAAAAAAAAAAAAAGTTAAATTCAAAGTGGATCAAAGACGTAAAACTATTTAAAAGAATACTCCTACAGGAAGGAGCTGAGTATCAGTAGCTCACACAGCTGTAATCCTAGTACTTGGGAAACAGAGAAGGGGAGGATTGTGGTTCAAGGATATCCCAAGGACGGGCTGGGAAGGTGGCTCAGTGATAGAGCATTTGCCTTGCATGCTCGAGGCCCTGAGTTCGATTCCTCAGCACCACATAGGAAAAAAGCCAGAAGTGGCGCTGTGGCTCAAGTGGTAGAGCGCTAGCCTTGAGCTGAAGAGCTGAGGGACAGCGTCCAGGCCCACAGTTCAGGCCCCACGACCAGACCCCCCCCCCCCAAAAAAAAAAGGATATCCCAAGGAAAACAGTTTATGAGACACACCCCCTCACTGCCAACACATCTCAACCAATAGCCAGATGTGATCTCACACACACACACACATACACACACACCAGCTATTGAAGGAAGTGGCAGCCCAAAATCTAGGATGTCTTAGATAAAAAGCAAAAATAACTAGGGAAAAGGGCTGGAGGTATAGCTCAAGTGGCAGGGTGGCCTCCAAGCAAGCATAAAGGCCTGAGTTCAAACTCAAGAACCAAACTATAGCAATAACCCAATAACAACTCAGTCACTTGGGAGGCTGAGATGAGGAGGATAAGATTCAAGTCCAGACTGCGAAGAAATTCCACAAGATTATTTTCTCAACCGATTGGTGGGTTTGGCAGCACCTGTCTCCTAGTTACAACTGAAAACGAAGTGGATTACAATTCAGGTGTGCACTTGGGCAGAAAAAGAGACCCTATCAAGAGACACTGAGGCTAGATGGGTCGGGTGGCTCATATCTATAATCCCATTACTTGGGCGGTTGAAGTAGGATCTGAGTTTGAGGCCACCCTGATTACACAGTAAGACTGTCTTAATAACATCTGATCTGGCCATGATTTTTTGGATAGAACATTAGAGGCACAAGGAAAACCAGACAAATTAAGCTTCATAAAAAATGTTAAATTGGGGCTGGGAAGGTGGCTCAGTGGTAGAGCGCTTGCCTTGCATGCATGAGGCCCTGGGTTCGATTCCTCAGCACCACATAAGCAAAAAGAAAAAAGCCAGAAGTGGCGCTGTGGCTCAAGTGGTAGAGTGCTAGCCTTGAGCTGAAGAGCTGAGGGACAGCACCTAGGCCCAGAGTTCAGGCCCATGACCGGTCCCAAAAAAAAAAAAAAAGTTAAATTGTGCACCAAAAAGACAAAATGAAGAGAGTGAGGGAAGGGAGGACACTGTACAAAAAGGAAATGTACTCATTACTGACTTACGTATCTGTAATCCCTCTGTACATCACCTTCATAATAACAATAAAGTAATTTTTTTAAAAAGGCAAAAAGAGCCAGGAGCTGGGTGCCAGTGGCTCACACCTGTAATCCTAGCTACTCAGGAGGCTGAGATCTGAAGAACACAGTTCAAAGCCAGCCCAGGCAGGAAAAGTCCATGAGAATCTTACCTCCAATTAACCACTCAGAAAACCGGAAGTGGCACTGTGGCTCAAGTGGCAGAGCACTAGACTTGAGCTGAAGAGCTGAGGGACAGTGCCCAGGCCCAGAGTTCAAGCCCCATGACCGGAAAAAAAAAAAAAAAAAGACAAAAAGCTGCTGGGGGCCGGTGGCTCATACCTTAATCCTAGTTACTAAGGAGGCTGAGATTTGAGGATCGCAGTTCAAAGCCAACCCAACAGGAAAGTCAGTGGGACTCTTATCTCCAATTAACTACCAGAAAAAGCCAGAAGTGGCACTGTGGCTCAAGAGGTAGAGTGCTTGCCTTGAGCTGAAGAGCTCAGGGACAGCGCCCAGGCCCAGAGTTTAAGCCCTACAACTGACAGAAAGCTCAAAGACAGTGCCTAAAAGCCCCAGGAGACAGATAGATAGACAGACAGACAGACAGACATATACACACACACACACACACACACACAGCAGAAATAAATGCAGAATTAGGTACAGAGCCTTGCTAAACACATAAAAAGATGGTCAATAACACTTATAGGGAAATACAAATCAAAATTATGATATCTCATTCACAGTGCAATGCTACTATTAAAAAAAAGTTTAAGATGGTATTTTTTGTGTGTTTTATCACATATAAGTGCATAAAATATACCTGACCTCTGACCCTGTCCAATTACTGGCCCATTTTTTCTGCTTGGGAAAGCCCATATGTGTTCTCTCTCTCTTTTTTTTTTTTATTTTTGGTCAGTCATGGGGCCTGAACTCTGGGCCTGGGTGCTGTCCTTCAGCTCTTGAGCTCAAGGCTAGTGCTCTACCACTTGAGCCACAGCACCACTTCCAGCTTTTTCTGCTTATGTGGTGCTGAGGAACTGAACCCACCAGGGCCTCATGCATGTGAGGCAAGCACTCTACCACTGAGCCACCTTCCTAGGTCCTTCCTTATATTTTTTTTTTATTTTTTATTTTTGGGTCTGGTCGTGGGGCCTGAACTCTGGGCCTGGGCGCTGTCCCTCAGCTCTTCAGCTCAAGGCTAGCACTCTACTACTTGAGCCACAGCGCCACTTCTGGATTTTTTTTTCTGCTTATGTGGTGTTGAGGAATCGAACCCAGGGCCTCAAGCATGCAAGGCAAGCGCTCTACCACTGAGCCACCTTCCCAGCTCCCTCTTTTTTCTGTATATATATTTTTATTGTAAAGATACTGTACAGAGGGGTTACAGGTACATGAGTAAGGTAATGAGTACTTTTTCTGTGGAGTATTGTTACCTCCTCCTTTGTTTTTCCCCTACCATCCCTTTCCTCCCCACCTCCCTGTGTGTTCTCTTTACTCTTCAGTCTAATCTAGGTTCTGTCCCCAGCAAGTCTCTGAGTCAGCACATGCTGCTGCAGCTCAGTTCCCTGGCCTCATCCCCCACCCTCACCCCCACCCCCAGTTCTAGTTCTGGACCCCCAAGTCAGATAAGCAGCACCTGATGATGCTGTGTATGCTTTTCTTGCTGAAATACCTTGCTCCATTTGGGTTTCCATAAGCCTGCTTTCCTCTTACCTCTGTGGCCATTTCCCCTTGGTCTCCAGAGCTGGATCCTCCACCTCCCTCTTCCCCTTTAACTTTCAAAGCCCCAGGTTCCATCTTCTTCTCCCCTCAGCTTGCCCTGTGCCTTAAACCCTCCCCTAAACCTGCTGGCCTTCTTACACAGCTGAGGCCAGGCCTTTGCCCTCTGCCCTGGGCTCTAACACAACTCTTCCCCAAACTTTCTATCCAGATACCCAGACTGAGATCTGAGGATCACGGCTTGAAGTCATGGGCAGGGAAGTCCCAGAGACTCTACTCCAATTAACCACAAAAAGTCAGAAGTGGAGCTATGGTTCAAATAGTAGAGCACTAGCTTGAGCAAAAGAGCTCAGAAATAGCACCCAGGCTCTGAGTTCAAGTCCCAATATTAGCAAATTTATATATATACATATATATACATATATATACATATATATGTATATATAAAATCAGATAGCTAAGATGAAATCTCCCCTAAACCTGTTTCTCCCTAGTCTTCCCCATCAGTGACTAAGCCACGCCCTTCTCCAGCCCAAATCACCCAGAATTCTGCATCTGACCCTGCATCCCCTATAGGATCAAAACTGGTCATCTCCATAACCAATGCTCTCTCTCCCTCCAAGCTGCCCATTCTCTTCCTGCTACTGTGCCATCGAGGTCCTAGCCTGTCTCTTCACCTGGGTGGCTGCAGAAGTCTCCTCCCTAACCTTAATAACTTCCCCCTAGCTTAGAATAAAACCAAGTTCCAACCAGGGGTGCAATGAACCTTTCTGCTCCCTCCCGCCTGCCCCCACCACTCAAGTTCCTTGTTCCCACCCAGTCCCAGACACACTGGGCACATCCACTCATAGGGAGGAAAGTAATTTCTTACACGGGCATGGGAACAAGACACCGGTCTATTGGTTACTTCTGAAAGATCAGAATCCCACCAGTTGTCTTTTTTTTAAAAAACCACAACCAAGTCCTGCTTTGAAAATACAGCACCAGTGGGCAGGCTGCCTGACCGCCTCTGCCTGCGTGCCTGGGTAAGTAACCACTGGCAAGTGACTGCATGTTTCTTACCCCTGAAGGGGACGATAATGACTGTCTACCTCAAAGGACTGTGGAGGCGGAAATGATCCTGCACGTAAACAAGTGTCTACAGAAACCCCACTGGGGTCTGCTGCTGCCCTTCTCACAGAGGCTGGGCTCTGCTCTTGAGATGGGCCACGTTTTCTCTCTGATACTCAAACAGCCCTAAGGGATGCAATGCTGTCACTGTAGTTACACAGATGAGGAAACTGAAGCCCAAAATTAGAAGTTAAGTCTAAATTTTTAAAAATCAAAAGCAAGGTGCTGCTAGTGGCTCACACCTGTAATCCTAACTACTCAGGAGGCTGAGATCTGAGGATCTCAGTTCAAAGCCAGCTTGGGCAGGAAAGTCCATGAGACTCTTATCTCCAACCAACCACCAGAAAACCGGAAGTAATACTGTGGGTCAAAGTGGTAGAGTGCTAGTCTTGAGCAAAAGAGCTCAGGGACAGCGCCCAGGTCCAGAGTTCAAGCCCCATGATGAACCAAGGGGAAAAAAAAAACATAACTCTTAACACCTAGCATGGTACTAAACATCTGTAATTCAACACACTAGGGAGGCCGAATTGTTGGAAGCAGAATTGTCCTTTGCTTGCCTGCCTTCCTTCCCTCTCTTCTTTCTCGGTACTAAGGCTCATACCCAGGGCCTCATACTTGGTAGGTAGGTGCTTTCATATTGAGCCACATCCCAGGCTGCTCTGTTTCTGTCACCCACACCACACAAAGCTCTGCAGACCAGTGCTCAGTTCACACACTCACTGTATCCTCTCCTGTGACCCATTCAATATTCATGAGGAAGGATTTATTCTCAGTCAGTTCTCAATGTAATTGCCCAGGCTGGCTCTGAACTTCTGGGCTCCAGCAATCCTGCCTCCTGATTAGCTGGGCGTTAAGGTATGTGTCACCATGTCCAGCATGAGGGAACCTTAAATGTCTCCATTTTAGAGATGTGGAAACTGAGGCTCAGAGTAATTAAAGCAATTCACATTTCAGTCACCAAGTCTAAAAGACATCAGGCCCAGGCCTGGAGGAGAGTTAGAAGTGACTTTTCTTTTTGGCGGTACAGGGATTTGAACTTAGGGTCTTGCATTTGGTAGGCTAATAGTCTACTACTTGAGCAACCCCTTGTTTTTTGGGTTTTGGTGTGTGTGTGTGTGTGTGTGTGTGTGTACACTCTGAGCTGTCCCTCAGCTCTTCACCTCAAGACTAGCACTCTACCACTTGAGCCACAGCGCCACTTCCGGCTTTTTTTTTTTTTTTTTTTTTTGCTTATGTGGTGCTGAAGAATCAAACCCAGGACCTCATGAATGCAAGGCAAGCACTCTACCACTGAGCCACCTTCCCAGCCCATCCTTGAGATTTTTTTTTGCTCAAAGTTAGCACTTTACCACTTGAGCCACAGCTCTACTTCTGGCTTTTGGTGGTTAACTGAAGATAAAGAGCCTCATGGGCTTTCCTGTTGGGTTGGCTTCGAACTGCAATCCTCAGATCTCAGCCTTCTGAGCAGCTAGGATAACAGGAATGAGTTACTGGAACCCAGTTTGGTTGGGTTTTTGGTTTTAATTTTATTTTAGTTTTTGTAGTGCTGGGGATGGAACCCAGGGCCTAGCACATGCAGGCAGGTTCTTCACTACTGGCAGTGCCCCCCACCCTTGCATGTCACACCGAGGTAAAACTGCTACTTTATTCATATCACACTTCCACGCAAGGTCCTCTGAGATGATGCTGGCTGTAACTTTGAAGAGCTATGTACAAGTTGACAAGTGAGAGAGAGAACAGCAGCAGCAGCAGCAGGGATCACAGGGTGGGCACAGGTCTGGGGAAAGAGATAAGCACTGGAGAGGTGCCCAAAGGACAGATGGCTGGCACACAGAGGAGCCCTGGTTTCTTGAGCAAGACAACAAACACACAGGGGAGCTCTAGAAAGAGGCTAAGCTCTGCTATATCAACTTGCCCTCTCTGAGCCATTCTTTATTTGTGTGTACAATGAAGACTGAATGAGATCAAGATCAGCAAACTTGTATAAGTGTTGGACAGAAGTTAGGATTTTATGGGACCTTCGTGATCTCTGTAACACAGTCTCCCTCTAACTCCTTTTAAAAAAAAAATGTGAAAACTGCCAGGTATCAGTGGCTTACACCTGTAATCCCAGTTCCTCAGGAGGCTAAGATCTGAGGATTACGGTTTAAAACCTTGGCAGGAAAGCCCCTGAGACTCTTACTTCCAATTAACCACCAAAAAAACCCTGGCAAATACGGGCTAAGAAAGTGGCTCAATGGTAGAGTGCTTGCCTCGCATGCATGAGGCCCTGGGTTTGATTCCTCAGCACCACATAAGCAGAAAAAAAGCCGGAAGTAGCGCTGTGGCTCAAGCAGTAGAATGCTAGCCTTGAGCTAAAGAGCTGACGACAGACAGCGCCCAGGCCCAGAGGTCAGGCCCCAGGACCAACAAAAGAAAACAAAAACACAAACGGGCCAGGCACCAGTGGCTTACACCTATAATCCTAGTTACTCAGGAGGCTGAGATCTGAGGATCTTGATTCAAAGCCAGCCCAGGCAGAAAAGTCTATGAGACCCTTATCTCCAATAAACCACTAGAAAACCGGAAGTGGCACTGTGGCTCAAGCAGTAGCACGCTCAGCTTGAGCTGAAGAGTGTAGGGACAGCGCGCAAGCCCACAACCGACCAAAACAAAACAAACAAACAAACAAAAAAAAAATGGCAAGCAGAGCTGTGGCTCAAGTGTTACAGCTCTAGCCTTAAACAAAAAAGCTCAGGGACAGCACACAGGCCGAGTTCAAGGCCCTAAATTGGCGCATGCGCGCATGCACGTACACGTACACACACACACACACACACACACACACACGCACACACACACGCGCGCGCGCGCGCGCGCACACACACACACACACGTGACAACCAAACCAGGCACTCATGGCTCATACCCGTAATACTAACTACTCAGGAGGTTGGGATCTGAGGATCATAGTTTAAAGCCAGGCTGGCCAAGAAAGTTCATGAGACTTTTTTTTTTTGTCGGTCGTGGGGCTTGAACTCTGGGCCTGGGCGCTGTCCCTCAGCTCTTCAGCTCAAGGCGAACGCTCTACCACTTGAGCTATAGTGCCACTTCCGGTTTTCTGGTGGTTTATTGGAGATAGGAGTCTCACAGTCTCTCCTGCCCGGGCTGGCTTTGAACCGCGATCCTCAGATCTCAGCCTCCTGAGTAGCTAGGATTACAGGCGTGAGCCACCAGCGCCCCGGCTTCATGAGACTCTTATCTCTAATTAACCACTAAAATAAACAAATTTTAAAAAGCTAGAAATGGGAGCTGTGTTTCAAGAGGTAGAGCATCAACTTGGAGTGAAAAAAGTCAAGTGTGAACCTAAGGCCCTGAGTTCAAGCCTGACGGCCTGGGCTCCTCTTGGAGACCCTTCACCATCCATGAAGATGGCTCTCCTTTCACTTAAAATAAGCTTACAAAGAAAGAAAAGGAAGAAAGGAAGGAAGGAAGGAAGGAAGGAAGGAAGGAAGGAAGGAAGGAAGGAAGGAAGGAAGGAAGGAAGGAAGGAAGGAAGGAAGGAAAGAAGGAAAGAAAACCTGAGTACTGACACAAACCAACAAGCAAACAAAATATTGATGTTTTAGAGGGACCTAAGGCCAGCTGCTCTCCCCTTCTCCCATCCCTCTGGACAGAGAGCCTACCTGAGGACACTGCTGGCTCCGAGATCCCAGGGTTGGTACTGCTACTGGGCTGGGCACAGTCAGAGCTGGGGCTGAGGGTAGAGGTGGAGGGGAGGGGCTCCTTGGCAGGACTGTCAGGCTCCTGTACCTCCTCTGGACACAGGTAGACTTCTATGGGCCCTTGGGTGCTCTTCAGATATATCTGCAGGCTCTCCTAGAGTGGGTAGGGAAGAGAAGTCAGCTCAAAGCCCAGTGCTGGACCCACACGGCTACCCACCATCCACATGAGCAAGCTCAGTCCTGGAACTGGACACCTTCCTCAAGCGGGTGGGTCTTGGTGCCCAGCTCCAGGACTGAACTTGCTCATGTGGACGGTGGGTAGCCGCCAGGTGAGCAGGCTTCAGTGCCCAGCTGCCTAGTCCCCTTCTTTCAGGGAGACACGTTGATTATCTTCAGGAATCTCACTCCACATTCCTGGGTCGTACATATACACGTGGTGCACACCTGTAATTGCAGCAGCTAGGAAAGTCTGTGATAAGACTGGATCAGGGAGGCGCATGCCCAGGTCAATCCAGACAACACCGGGCCCAGAACTCTGTCCAGACCAATAGGAAACAGAAGCTTTTTTCCCACTAAAGTGGTTGAGCTGGTGTCACACAAGCCATTGCCCTAGAGGGAAGCCTGTGTGGGGACAGCCAGCACAGAAGCAGGGGAGGCCGAGTGCAAGAGAATGAAGACAGGCTGATGTAGCAACACAAAGACTGATGGCAGTGGCATGGGAGAAAAGGTAGGTATGGGCAATTGGGATCAAGGGATCAAAAGCTTCATAGAGAATGTTAAGAATTTGGGTCTTGCCAGACACTGGTGGCTCATACCTATAATCCTAGCTCCTTAGGAGGCTGAGAATTCCAGTTCAAAGCCAGCCTAGACAGACATATCAGGCACTCTTATCTCCAATTGACTAGAAAAATGCTTGAAGCAGAAGGGGGTGGCTTAAGTAGTGAAGTGTCAGTCTTGAGCAGAAAAAGCTAAGCAAGAAGAGCAGGAAGGGCAGAGTTCAAGCCCTACTAATAGTACAAAATTTAAATTAAAAAATGTTGGTCTTGTGTTCAACATGGTAGAGCAAACTATAATCCCAGTACTTGAGAATCAGAGGTAGGAAGACAGAGTTCAAGACTAGCCTAGGTTACATAGTGAGACCCTGTCTCAAAAACAAACACAGGCCAGGCATCAGTGACTCATGCCTGTAATCCTATATACTCAGAATCCTGAGATCTGAGGATTGTGGTTCGAAGCCAGCCAGGCAAGAAAGTCCATCAGACTCTGATCTCCAATTAACCACCAGAAAACTAGAAGTGGTGCTGTGGCTCAAAGTGGTAAGAGTACTTGCCTTGAGCAAAAGAGCTCAGGGACAGTGCCCAGACCCTGAGTTCAATCCCCATGAATGGTTAAAAAAATAATTAATTAATTAAAAATTAAGAACAATTTTTTTGAAGCTAGGAGAGCAAGGTCAGTGGCAAAGGATTTGTGAGCATACGCAAGTATGTGTACAGGAAGCTGCAGCTGGCTGCATAACAAACAGAACGTCTATGCAGGAAAAGATTTCCTTAGCCAGTACTCAGTTGCCACCTTTCTAGCTTCTGCCATTTGTGCCCGGGCTTGGAGACTACCAATCTCACCATGGGTCCCAGAACACACCAGGGGAGCTCAGAGTGGGCCGTGGTGAGGGATAAAGTCAGCAGAGCTCCCAGGACCTCCTTACCCTGGTCTCCATCAGATGCCTCCCCTCTCACCTCAGCCCTGTCGGGTACTTCCAGCCTGGTCTGTGGAGGGGCCTTGACAGCAATCACCGTCTGCTCCTTAAAGGTGCCCACAGCACGAATGTCCTGGTAAGTCACATAGGCCAGTGTGCGGACTAGAAAGTTAAGAAAAGCATCTGCCTAGTCAAAATGCCAGTCTCCAGCCTGCCAGGCTAAGCCTCCACTGTCTCTCATAAGTTTCTGAAAAACTCCCTCTTGTTCCTCATATATGGCTCAGAACCTGCTCTCTGAACACCACAAGCTATCTTAGATTCCCTTAAAGAGCAAAGAGGAAGACAGAAGTAGTGGCATATATCTATAATCCTGCACTGGGGAAACAAAGGCAGCAGAACTGAGTCCAAGCAAGGACAGCCTGGGCTGCACAGCAAGACCCTATCCCCCAACACAAAACCAAACCAAAAAGAAAGAGTAGGCTGCCAGGCACTGGTGGCTCACACCTATAATCCTAGCTACTCAGGAGAGTAAAATCTGAAGATCGTGGTTCAAAGCCAGCCTGGTCAGGACTGTCCATGAGATTCTTAACTCCAGTTAACACCAGAAAATTGGGAAGTGGCACTGTAGCTCAAAGTGGTAGAGCACTAGCCTTAAGCTGAAGAGCTCAGGGACAGCTCCCAGGCCCAGAGTTCAAGACCCACAATGGACAAAAAATAAAGTACTAGAATGGGCATGGTAGTACATAGGGAGAGAGAGAGAGAAGGCAAAAGAAATGTGCTTATTTTAATAATGAAAAAGTAGGCCAGGTGTCATTGCTCGTACTTGGGAATCCTCTCTTTCAAGAGAGGATCAAAGTTTAAGGCCAGCTCAGGTAAAAAGTTCCAGAGACTCTCCATCTCAACAAATAAACCATGTGTGTGGTACACACCTTTAACCTCAGCTACTTGGTAAGCATAGGAAGGAAGATTAAAGTCTGAGGCTGGCCTGGGCAGCCTATCCAAAATAATAACTTAAAAGTGAAAAGGTATGGCTCAAGTGGTAGAGAATTTTTCTAGCAAAAGTGAAGCCTTGAGTTCAAATCCCAGTCCTGTCCCTGCCTCTACCAAGAAAAGTAACTTTAATAGGCGTAAGAAGAAATGCCACCCAAGGAAGTAAGAGAGGGTATACCTAACCACAAAGGGCAGACTCAGGACAAACATAAACATTCCAGGTCCTTGTATCCCCGGCCCCTTTCTTCCCCCATTGAGGATATCTCTTGTTGGCATTATCCTCAGTCAGGTGCTTGAAGTTCAGAGAACAGCTCTGGATAAGCTGATCCAAGGCCTGCTCCGTGCTCATCAGCTCCTTCAGCTCCTGCCCCAGCTTCGCAGGCCGGGTGGGGTCTTCCAATATTCCCCTGCCTCTGGGAACAGAGCAGCCCTCAATGTCAGTGTCAGTCCATATGCAGGGAGCAACATCCCCTTTTCCCCCCTCTCCCACCGCAGCTGCTGGGCAGAGGGTCCTCAATGGAGCAGGGGGAAACTCCAAAACAAGGCTTAATCAGGTGATCTACAAATCAAGGGTGGTGTCTTAGCTTCCACAGAGCTGCAGAGATTGGACCCAGCCTCTTACATAAAGCAGGATAGCGGGGTAACCTCAGTCCTAGCTTCCCTGCCTGAGTTTTCTTAGGGGTCAATGCCAAGGACTGTTTTTAAAGACTTTCCAGCAATGGAGAGAGCAATCTAGCTTACACCTACTCAGCTCCCAGGGAACTTTCCTAAGCCAAGAGAGACGATCTTTGGATCTGTGACACCATAGGAAGAATCCAGGGTTCTCAGGCCTTTACAACTCCATCTCCACTCAACCCCTTCCCTTTATACTCATGATTCCAGCACATACACCTGCTCAGCCATCAACTCAAACTCAGTCTCTGCCCCAGCCTGTGGATGCTCTTGGTCCAATGCAGCGCCTATGCTCATTGGCTGTTATTCTCAGCCCACCCCTAACATTCACACCCATTGGCTATTGGCTCTGGCTCCAACCTCAGCATGTGCACTCTCCCCAGAACTCACACCCACTGTATGTTGTTCTTGGCCTTCTTGCGGATAAGCTGGATGCCCTCCAGCACATTGGTGATGTCATAGATGCGCCGCTTCTGCACATCCAGCACCTCCGCAGCCCAGTTCAGGTCCAGGACCCCATCCTGTGACTCGCTCAGGAGGTAAATGAACTTCTTGGTGAGCAGTCCCAGTGAAGTGTCATACCGAGTCTTCTCCCCAGGGGACTTGGGAGCTGAGGAAGAAAGAGAAACAATGACAGCTAGGAGAGGGGTAGCCTTGGGACTCCACGAACCTGTGGGCCCATTAAGTATCACCTTTTTGCACCCAGCACCTCCCACTTTCACCACCATCCTCCAGTCAGGGAATCTGATAACCTAAGGGAAAGTGGTCAGGGTAAGCCAGGTCCAGAAGAAAAGCCAAGAGCCCTAATTCCCTACAAGCGATTTAAAATTCCGACCATCTGCCCTCGACCCCCCCACTTCCTTCTTAACCATTACCCTGGGCTATCAGTTATACCAGGAATCTAAAACTACCACAGGGTGAACCCAACAAACCTGGATGCGGTCCCTGAGCCTCTCTGTGCTCAAGGCTAGCACTCAACCACTGGAGCCACTTCTGTTTTTTTTTGGAGTGGTTAATTGGAGATAAGTCTCATGGGGGCCAGGTGCCGGTGGCTGAGGCCTGTAATCCTAGCTACTCAGGAGACTGAGATCTGAGGATTACGGTTCAAAGCCAGCCGGGGCAGGGAAGTCCATGAGACTCATCTCCAATAAAGCACTAGAAAACTAGAAGTGGCACTGTTGCTGAAGTGGTAGAGTGCTCACCTTGAGCTGAAGAGCGCAGGGACAGCACCTAAGCCCAGAGTTCAAGCCCCAGAACAAAAAAAAAAAAAAGCTGGGCACCGGTGGCTCACGCCTGTAATCCTAGCTACACAGGAGGCTGAGATCCTCAGATCTCAGTTCAAAGCCAGCCTGGGCAGGAAAGCCCGTGAAACTCTTATCTCCAATAAACCACCAGAAAACTGGAAGTGGCGCTGTAGCTCAAGTGATAGAGCACTCGCCTTGAGCTGAACAGCTGAGAGACAGTGCTCAGGCCCAGAGTTCAAGCCCCACGACTGACCAAAAAAAAAAGGCTCACAGGGACATTCCTGCTGGGGCTGGCTTCAAACCACAATCCTCAGATCTCGGCCTCCTGAGTAGCTAGGATTTCAGACGAGGCCACCAGCACTTGGCTGAGAATGAGAATGTTTTTTATGGATGTACACTTGCCTTTTCCTTTCCCTGTGGAGTCCAATAACTACACTGAGAGAAATCAATCATATAACAAATGGGAAATTCAAGAAAAAGATTACTTTCTCAAGGTAACTGATGTCTCAACACCACATCTCTGCTGCAACAAGACCAAGGGGGTCTTTTGCAACCAAGTGACTTGTAAGTCACATAGTGAGTTAGTGGCCCAACTAGTTCTGGAACTAAGACTCTTCAGGAAGAGGACATCAGAATCCTTTAACACATTACATGACAAGGGTTTGGCACACAGGCTTCTCTGCCGGGTTTGTGTTCATGAGACATTACTAATGGATCAACACATTTACTGATCCTACCTAGCTTTAGAACCCTTCAATGCAGTATTGGAGCAGCCTCTATCAATTGTTTTTTGTTTTGTTTTTTGGTTGGTCGTGGGGCTTGAACTCTGGGCTTGGGTACTGGCTTTGCAGGGCTGGCTTTGAACCATGATCCTCAGATCTCAGCTTCCTGAGTAGCTAGGATTACAGGCGTGAGCTACCAGCGCCCGGTTTCAATTGTAAAGGAAACTTAACCATTCCTGATCTAGCTGTGCCTTGTCATAAAGATAGGGCAAGGATTCACAGAAGAGGAGGGACAGTCAAGTCACATCAAAGTCCTACCTAGATCCCCAAATTCCTGACTGGTGAATATCACTCAGTCACATATTTTCTTTGCTGGATATCAGGAAAAACTAGCATTTCTCCCTATACTTGCTTAAACTTCGACTTTAGCCAGAATATACAGTGAAGTATTCATCCACAAATTTTTTTTTTGGGTACAGTAGTGGGGCTTGTACTCTGGGCCTGGGCACTGTCCCTCAGCTCTTCAGCTCAAGGCTAGTGCTCTACCACTTGAGCCACAGCACCACTTCTGGCTTTTTTCTTTTTGCTTATGTGGTGCTGAGGAATCGAACCCAGGGCATCAGGCATGCAAGGCAAGCGCTCTACCACTGAGCCACCTTCCCAGCCTCACAGTGAAGTATTCAAAGAAATCCTTTCAGGTTAGCTTTAGGAAAAGGCTCTAGATGAGCAGTCTCTGGATCCTAAACCCTCAGCGGGTAGTAAAGGCTGATTAAAGTAATGCAGATATCTCTTTGAATCATTCAGCTCTCTTTTCACATGGGAATCACTCTGTTAAGCCCTACTCCTGAGTGCAATTCTCTTTTTAAAAAAGGTCACATTAAGCCGGGCTCCAGTGGCTCAAGCCTGTAATCCCAGCTACTTAGGAGGCTAAGATCTGAGGATCATGGTTCAAAGCTAGCCGGGGCAGGAAAGACCGTGAGACTCCTATCTCCAATAAACCACCAGAAAACAGGAAGTGGCGCTGTAGCTCAAGTGGTAGAGTGCTAGCCTTGAGTTGAAGAGCTGAGGGACAGCGCCCAGGTCCAGCGTTCAAGCCCCATAACCGACAAAAAAAAAAAAAAAAAGGTCACACTGAGCCAAGCACCGATAGCTCACTCCTATAATCCTAGTTACTGAGATTTGAGGATCATGGTTCATGAGACTCTAGTCTCAAATAAACTACTCCAAAAAAGCCAGAAGGGACACTGTGGCTCAAGTGGTAGAGCACTAGCCTTAAGCACAGAGAGGCTCAGGGACAGAGCCCAGGTTCAAGCCCCAGTATCGTTACCTAGGCTTTTGCCCTGACTCCACTACTAGCTGTGTAGCCCTAGATAAAACAGGCTCTGAGCCTCAAGTTTTCTGCCAATAAAAGGGACATGACCAATCTACAGGGGATTAAGGCAGGAATACACAGGAAACCTTGACAAACCAGAAACTATGATACTTTAAGCCTGCCTGACTCATAGGTATATCATACTGGCCAAATGTGGTCACAAATAATTTTTATTTTTATTTCTTTTGTCGGTCGTGGGGCCTGAACTCTGGGCCAGGGCGCTGTCCCCTCAGCTCTGCAGCTCAAGGCACTGTACCACTTTCGGCTTTTTCTGCTTATGTGGTGCTGAGGAATAGAACCCAAGTCCTCATGCATGCAAGGCAAGCACTCTGCCACTGAGCAATCTTCTCGGCCCAATAAAAATAATTTTTTTTATGCCAGTATTGTGGCTTGAACTCAGGACCTGAGTTCATTTTCACTGAAGGCTGGTGTTCTACCACTTGAGCTACAACTCTACTTCAAGCTTTTTTTTTGTCGGTCCAGGGGCTTGAACTCAGGGCCTGTGTCCTGTTCCTCAGCTTTTCAGCTTAAGGTGAGTGCTCTACCACTTGAGCCACAAGCGCCACTTCCGGTTTTCTAGTGGTTAATTGGAGATAAGAGTCTCATGGACTTTTCTGCTCTGGCTGGCTTTGAACTGTGATCCTCAGATCTCAGCTTCCTCAGTAGCTAGGAATACAGGCATGAGTCACCGGCGCCCAGCTTACTTCCAGCTTTTTAATTGAGGATAAAGAGTCTTCTGAAGTTTCCTACCCTGACTGGCTTTGAACTGTGACCCTCAGATCTCAGGATTCCAGAGTAGCTAAGATTAGAGGCATGAGACATGGGCATCCAACTTACAATAATTTTTAAAATGTAATTTTATGATTATTACTAAGGTGTTGTACAGAGGGGTTGTCATTTCACAATTCAAGTAATGCATCCATTTCTCTTTGGGACCGTATCACCCTTTCCTTTGCTTTCCTCCAGTTTGCCCCTCCCCTCCCTGCCTGCAAGTTGCATACCTCATTTTCCACATAGGGTATATGGAATACCACAATAGCATTTGTTCACCCTTCTTCCCTGACTTTCTGTGCCCTGCTCCTTAGAAGCAGGAGAAAAAAAAAGATAAAGAAACACACACATGGGACTGGAAAGGGGGCTCAGTGGTAGAGTCCTTGCCTTGCATGCATGAAGTCATGGGTTTGATTCCTCAGCATCATATAAGCAAAAAAAGCCGAAGTGGTGCTGTGGCTGGAGTGGTAGAACACTAGCCTTGAGCTGAAAAGCTGAGGGACAGTGCCCAGGCCCAGAATTCAGGCCCCACACCGACACACACACACCACCACCACCAACAACAACAACAACAGCAACAACAACAACACAAAAGAATTTATTTTTAAGAAATCAAAAGCTGGAGGAGCTGGGAGGTGGCTCAGTGGTAGAGTGCTTGCCTTGCATGCATGAGGCCGTGGGTTGGATTCCTCAGCACCACATAAGCAGAAAAAGCAGGAAGTGGCACTGTGGCTCAAGTGGTAGAGCGCTAGACTTGAGCTGAAGAGTTGAGGGACAGCGCCCTGCCCCAGAGTTCAAGCCCCATAACCGCCAAAAATAAATAAATAAAGCTGTAGCTGAGTGCCAGTGGCTCATTGCCTGTAATCCTAGATACTCAGGAGGCTGAGATCTAAGGATGGCAGTTTAAAGCCAGTCTGGGCAGGAAAGTCCCTAAGACTTCTATCTCCAACTAACTACCACAAAACCAAAAATGGTGCTGTGGCTCAAGTGGTAGAATGCTAGTTTTGAGCTGAAGAACTGAGGGAAAGCACCCAGTTGGTAGCTCACACTGTGGCTCAAATATTAAGAGTACAAAATGTCCCTTGAACAAAATAAAGCTCAAGAACAGTGCCTAGGCCCTGAGTTCAAGCCCCACTACTCAAAAACCAGGCACTGATGGGTGCAGGTAGCTCATGCCCATAATCCTAGCTACTCAAGAAGCTGAGATATCTGAAGATCTCAGTTCAAAGCCAGCCTAGGTAGGAAAGTTCATGAGATTCTGATCACCAATTAATCACAGAAAAAGCCAGAAATGGCTCTGTGGCTCAAATGGTAGAGTGTTAGCTAGCCTTGAGCAAAAAGAGCTAAGTGACAGTGCCAAGGCCCAGAGTTCAAGCCCCAGGTTGGGCAAAAAATTAAAATTAAAAAAAATAAATTACAAGCCAGGAGTCAGTGGCTCACGTCTATAATCCTAGCTACTAAGGAGGCTGAGATCTGAGGATCCCAGTTCAAAACCAGCCCCAGCAGATAAGAGTCTGTGAGACTCTTATCTCCAGTAAACTACCAGAAGACTAGAAGTGGCACTGTGGCTCAAGCAGTAGAGCGCTCGCCTTGAGCTGAAGATCTGAGGGGTAGTGCCCAGGCCCAGAGTTCAAGCCCCACAATCAACAACAACAACAACAAAAAGCATTTGTAGTTTGCTGAATGTTTGGTTCCCTGCCCTTAATTTTGTGAAACGCCGCCTCCCCCAAAAGTAAATGCTCATGCAGCACCAGCAGCAGAGGGTGGGATGGGAGGGTGAATATGCATAATTGAAATGATAAAGTGAAAATTTAGTATTTGCTGAAAGGCAGCAGAAGTTGGATAGTGATGCAGAAAGATGGATCTGCATTCTCAGTACACTTAGCGTTACACATCCCAAGCCTGCGCAGTTTTTCCTTGGTCCCTGAGGATACCAAGGACCTACAGTACAAGTATCAGTCGTGGTGACTTGGGCTGCTGCCCTCTACCTCTGCCTACCCCACCCCAGATGTCCCGTGGCAAGCTCTTACTTTTGGGACTGGGCAGGCCATCCACTGGGATGCACTTCCCCAGGGGAGTCCGGAATTCAGTGACTGCAGGCCTCTCGATGCCCTCCAGGTCCAGCTTCCTTTTGGCCTTGGGGAAAGGAGGGAGGAGAGGCAGAGTCTTTATCAGTCCTTCATTAGCCTTTTCCTGGCCTGAAGCAAAGGCACAGAGGGTCACCTGCAGTCACCTCCAGTGCCTGTTTGTCACCAGTGCAGGTGAAACACGACAGCATTTGGTAAGGAAATATCAGTGACCAGAGGCTGGGGAGTAGGAAGTAAAAGTCCCATCGCTGAGGCCCAAGCCAAGAAGCCCTATAAATACAGATGGCCACTGAGGGTTCTTCAAGCACTGCACAGCCACAGAACACAGGGGGGGAATGGGCGTGACCTAAACCACCTCTGGCTGGGGATTGGCCCCTCCCTAGGAGCAGCTGGCCCAGCCATCACGGTCCCACAGCTGGCTCATATCAGGGTGGGGCCCAGCATCCGCCCAGACCCACAGAACTTCCTGGCTTGGTGCCACACCCCAGGGAGGTACCCACAGAGAAGCACAAACATCCCCACCCCAAGGTATGAGCTTCAGCCAGGGCCTCCTTTCTTGCCTGCTGAGGGGCAGACAATGAGTTCTTCCTTCCTCAATGTCTTCACTACAAGCAGCTGAGGCCTAGTTGCCCCTCCCCATTCCTGCCAAGCTTGGGAAACACCTGCTGGAGAAATCAAACCACAGACCCATCTGTTCCTCTCCACCCAGTCACCACCACCAAGTAGTGCCCCCCTCCCTCCCCATGCAGCCAGTTGCCCTTCCTATAGGGAAAGGGCCTCTTTTAGGGCTGGGGAGGGCAGAACTGGGGCACTGGGCACAAGGCTGTTGAATCCTCCAGCACCTTTGAGAGCTCACCATGTGACCTGGAGACAAGCTCCATAGCAAGGAGTCTCAGTTTTCTGCTCTGTAAAGTGGGCCAGAAAACCCTGACATCCAGGGCTATGGTGAGGACTCAAAAGTAAGTTCTGGAAAGTTCTTCAGCCTATGGCTCAGTATACAGTAGGGACTCAGGAAATGCACAGTCCCTTCCCTGAATCTGATCTCAACATCTTCCTGGACACACCCCCTGGGGGCCAATGAGCCCATTTCCTTCCTCCTCTGTCCCCAGTACCCCACACACCACCACCACTGCCCTGAGTGAAAAGCCAATTTTAACACTTGATGGTGAGGTCATGCTCCACAGGGCTGAGACTTAACTGCTGCTGAGCACAGCTGGGCTGACAGGTGGAGGAGGCTGACAGCCCTTATAGGTGTCAGACCCCTCCCCCACTCCTTCCTCCTCCAGGAAGTCTTCCTGGACTCAGTTGAGGACCTTTGCTTCTAGGGTAGTGTTCCTCTTCTCTGTTCCTAAAACTTCCCAGTTTATTCTTCTTGAAGTCTCTACTTAATATTCCTTATCTACCTCTCCCAAAGTGAAATCCTAGATTCCAAGGGTCTGACCCTACCCTGTCAGAAAGCCTCCGTGTGCTCTGGGCCCAGCCATTCTCTCACCAGTCCTCTCCAGAAGCACCAAGGCCTGTCAGTCATGGCCACGGCTGTCCACCCCAGGATTCTTCCCTTCCCACATTTCCCAGTTAGGCTGAGGTCCACTTCCCCCTGCCCCCAACTCACTATCCTTGAGAGGCAAGTAGGAGAAAAGGACCTTGACCAGAAACCCATGTGGGGCCTATCGCACGTTCCTACTTCCTGCAACGTCAAGAAGAGCAATCTCTCTTGGCAGCCAAGAGGACTCACCCACGATGGTTTGCATCCAAGGTCACACATAAAAGGGAGAGCCAGCGTCTAAACCCTGGTCTGAACTCCAAAGCTCCATCCCACATAATCCCCCAGAATTTGCTAGAATGTGGGCCAAGGCCTGGCTATGCCACACGGACCCTCATCACTTCACACGCGCTCTTCTTCTCCCTCCCCCTATCTTGTACTACCAGGGTCCCCAAACAGAAAGTGTCACCCACCAAGGTGACACTTTCCTAGGCTCTGCCCAGAAAAGTCAACATGTAACTTGGCTGAGCCTGCAAAATGGAGGTGACAAAGGACAAGCCCCAGGAGAGGCTGTGCCCAGGCCTTGGAGTCAGACCAGCCTGGTTCAAAGCTAGGCTTCCTTCTCCTTCCCAGTACCCCCTCCAGGGTACTGGGGCTTGAACTCAGGGCCTGGCACTGTCCCTTAGCTTTTTCATCAATGCTGGCATTCTAGCACTTGCAGATCTTTGCTGGTTAGAGATTAAAGTGTAATGGATTTTCCTATCCAGGCTGGCTTTGAACCAGGATCCTCAGATCTCAGCCTCCTGGGTTGCCAGGATTATAGATGTGAGCCACCAGTGTCCAGCAGTCTCCCCCTTCTTAGCTGGATGAGCTGGGCATTCAGACCATCATGAGCACCTATAGAGTTGGGCTGATGATCAGTTCCATCTCTGTTGAGGGCTCTGCCCTGGCCAGTACTGGGACAGAGGATGTCAACAAGGACAGAGTTCAAAGGTGAACTGAAAAGCAACAGCAGGAGTGAGAAAAACCAAGAACTACTACTAAGCCCAGAGGCCTGCGTGGCTCTAACCTGAGTCCTCCTAGGAAGCCCCTTTCACCTGGCTAGGACTGAAGTCCTTTATCCTTGGGAGAAGTGTACTCTCCTTTCCTAGGCACCATCTCCTTATGGGCACAAGTTGAAGAAACTAGCCAGAGAAGGGGAAGTGGTTTTGCCTAAGGTCATTCAAAGAATGCAGCCAGGTCTCTACAGGGCCTTAGGTCCAACAACAGTAGGGTGAAGCACTTGTAAGGCGCCTCCCGGCGGCCCTCAGCTTACAGCTGAACATTGTAGCAGCTGCATAGTCCCAGCCTCCAGCCCTCTCCAAGGTCCTTCCAAGCCTGTATTTCCTCTCTAACCTGCCTGACAGAGTTGCAAAAAAACATTTATTTTCAGCCGGAGTACACCTATACCTGTAGTCCCAGGCACTCATGAGGCTAAAAAGGTGAATCACTTGAGCTCAGAAGTTTAAGGCCAGCCTAGACAACATAGCCAGACTTAGGAGGGTGAGATCTGAGGATGACTGTTCAAAACCAATCTAAGCAGAAAAGTCCAGGAGACTTTTTTTTTTTTGGTCAGTCATGGAGCTTAAACTTGGGGCCTGGGCGCTGTCCCTGAACTTTTTCACTCAAGACTAGTGCTCTACCACTTTGAGACACGGTGCCACTTCCAGCTTTCTGGAGATAGCAGTGTTACAGACTTTCCTTCCCTGACTGGCTTCAAACTATCCTTAGATCACAGCTTCCTGAGTAGCTAGGATTACAGGCATAAACCAGCCCCCAAGACTCTTGACTCTTATCTCCAATTTAACCAGCAAAACCCTAAACGTGGCTCAAGTGCTAAAGTACTAGCCTTAAGGGAAAAAAGCCAAGAAAAAGTACAAGGCTGAGTTCACGCCCCAGTAATGATGTGCGTGTGCATGGGCACATGCAAACGTGCACGCACGCGCGCGCGCACACACACACACCATTGTCCCCACTGTCCTGCAGGACTACATGCCTGGACAGAGGAAGGACTCCCCAGAGGAGTCAGTCCCTGAGGGAGGCAGCAAGAACACTGGATAGACAAGGAGGGGGCCTAGTTCTCTACTGAGTTGCCTTCCCTTTAAAAGACAGCACCCCACTAAATCCTGCTCACCCGGCACTTTGCAGCCTGACCACACCCAGGGTTGGGTCTGGAGCTGCTCCAGGTCACACCCTGGTAAATTGAGTAAGCAGGGGCAGCCCTGCCCAAGAGGCTGAGCCTCAGCAGCTGAGGACCAGCAGGAGGTAGGGAGGTTCTAGACCTGGCAGGCCTTTAAGGGGTCTAGTCCAGGAGACTCTTCCACTTCTTGGCTGTGTATTGAGCAAATGACTTCACTTGTCTTCTCAGTTTGATGAAGTTTCTTTACTTCATCTGTCAGGTGCCTCATACCAGGCTTCTTGACCCAAAATAACAAGAGTGGAGGGTGCCAGGCAGCACTTGGCATAGGAGAGGCACTTGGTAAAGGACAGCCATTCTTGCTAAGATCACTGGGCGCCCCCTCCCTTCCCCAGAAACAGAGTATAGACAGATGCACTCAGCTTCCTCTGGGAGGGTTCAAAACACTTCAAAGCCACAGCTGTTACTGAAACTTTGAGGCTGGAAAGCAGCTGGCCAGAGGAGAGCTAAGCACTGCACCCAGCCCTTTCCTGAGGGAGGGCTCCTACCTCCTGGGTTGGGCAGTACTGGGAATGGTCAAGCCTGAAGAGAGGTGCCTTGTAGATCTGGTCACTATCTCCCATCTCCCTGAATGACCTTGGACAGATCACATCCCCAATCTCACTGTTTCCCAATTACATCCACTTCACAGGCTACAAAAGATTCAGGCTATCAAATACTGAACATGCTGGCTGCCAGGGGTTCACGCCTGTAGTCCTAGCTATTCAGGAAGTTGAGATCTGAGAACTAAGGTTCAAAGCCAGCCCAGGCAGGAAAGTCCCTGAGTCAATAAACCACCAATAAAAGACAGAAGTGAAGCTGTGGCTCAAGTGGTAAATTGTTAACCTTGAGCAAAAGAGCTCAGAGGCAGCATCCAGACCCTGAGTTCATGCTCCAGTACCAATACATACATACAAAACAGTTATAAAAATAAAATACTGAACACAAGATGAAAGCTGAGCAGAGCACCAGTGCCTCACACTTGTAATCCTAGCTACTCAGAGGCTGAGATATGAGGATTGCAGGTCAAAGCCAGTCCGGGCAGCAAAGTCCCCTTAAGACTCTTATTTCCAATTAACTACTCAAAAACCAGTAGTGGCGCTGTGGCTCAAAGTGGTAGAGTGCTCGCCTTGAGCAAAAGAGCTCACAAATAGTACCCAGGCCCTGAGTACAAGCCCCACAACCTACCAAAAAAAAAGAGAGAGAGAGAGAGAGAGAGAGAGAGAGAGAGAGAGATGAAAGTGGGCCTCAGTCACTTGAACTATAAAATGGGCACAGTAATCACTTGCTTCCTGCCCTTCCAGTTGGAAAATGTACAGAAAAGGCACCAGTGGCCCACACTTACAATCCTAGCTACACAAAGGGCTGAAATCTGAGGATCACAGTTTGAAGACAGTCCTGGCAGGAAAGTCTGGGAGATTATTATCTATAATTAACCAAGAGCTGGGAAGGTAGCTCAGTGGTAGAGCGCTTGCCTTGCATGCACGAGGCCCTGGGTTTGATTCCTCAGCACCACATAAGCAGAAAAAAAAAGCCGGAAGTGGCGCTGTGGCTCAAGTGGGAGAGTGCTAGCCTTGAGCTGAAGAGCTGAAGGACAGGGCCCAGGCCCAGAGTTCAGGCCCACGACTGGACCCCCCCCCAAAAAAAAAAAAAAAATTAACCACCAAACAGCTGAAAGTAGCGCTGTGGCTCAAATGATAGACCGTAAGCTTTGAGCAGAAAAAGCTAAGGGCCATCATCTAGGCCCTGAGTTCAAGCCCTAGTATCAGCACAAAAAAGGAGGGAGGGAGCTCCAGAGGGTAAAACAAAGACAGATGCCAATGGCAGGAACTGGGGCTGTCCTTGCAGCAAGATGGCTAGGATTGGTGCCCGCTGACTGGCACAGGTCTGAGCAGATGCCTCTAGGACTGGGGGAGAGAGGGAGGATAGATAACCCTTCATCCAAACTTACGCATCACCCCCACAACTAAGCATACTTACAACATCCCCATCTCCCCTCCCTGGGGCCTCCTTCCAAAACCTACCACCTGGAGTTGGGAATAAACTGAGATGAGCTAGCCCAAACACAGCTATCATAGGCAGGCATACATTTTCAAGAAAGGGAAACTGAGGTCCAGATGTGTCCAAACACACAAGGTGCATTTGGGCAGTTTACAACAGAAAACCAAGCTCCCCAACATCTACCTCAAGTCCCCCAGGGCTTTCCCACTCCACTCCCCCCCCCCCAGGTAGTTTCTATTCACAAGGGCCACCATACTCTGGCCCTCCCTGACTACAGGCCTGGGGCTGGAGTGAACAGCTTACAGGAATAGAAACCCCAAGAGAACAGCCTGCATTTGAGTCTGCTACAGGCCATGTGGAGGAAAGACAGGGTTTGGCAGAGGACTTGGGGCAGACACCTGGGAAGGAGTGGCTATATGGCCAATCTGGAGTCGGTCTAGGCCAGATTGGACTCAAGAGAAACCCAGGACCTATTCCCTGGTCTTCAAGTCCCCAAAATGTCCCCAGGTTAAGTCTTGTGCCAGGCCCATAGCAGGTGCTGGTTTCCTGCCCAAACAATGAAAGAAGAATGAATGGTGGCAGTGTTGAACTCTGAGGGACAATGGGGTCAGGCCTCGGGACTCCCCGTCCAGTGCTCATTCTACTCCACTACCGCGAGTGATTTCATTGCACTCTAAGTTTTAAAATAAATAGGTCTTCTACTCAGATATTCTGGGCAATGAATTGTTCTGGAAACTGAAGGCTCATCCTCCTCAGCAAAATTCAACCTGCTTACCCTGGGTCTCGGGGTGCCCTTCCTGCCCGCCTCCCCCTCCCTCCCCCCCACACACACACAGACGCGTGCGGGGACCAAGCAAAACACAAAGCGGCAGGGGTCCCAGCGTTACCGGCAGCCGGCCAGCAGGCACGCAGCGCACCACTTGGCCCTCGGGTCGGTGGGGGGTGGCGTCGAGACAGCTGCTGGGGGCCACGACAAGAGGCGCCGTCTGCGGGTACAGCGAGGCGTAGTAGGTGGTGGTGGCCGGGCAGAGCTGGGGGCTGCTGAGGCCGGGCGACCACAGCTCCGGGGGGCTCAAGGCGGTCATCCCCTCGGGGAGCTGCAAGGCGGCGGGAGCCAGAGGTCGGGGTCCGCGCAGCATGCTGACCGCGGCGCCCCCCACCCGGCGGGGCCTGGCGCCCCCCGCGGGCACCCGTGGGCTCGGGAGCCTGCTGCGGCTCACACGGCCCGCGGCATGGCGCGGAGGCCGGGGGTGGGGTGTGCGGGGGAAGCCGCCAATGGACACCCGCGGGGCTCGGCCCGACCCTCCCCTCCTGGCCCGAAGCCGAGCGCAGCGGCGCTGAGCGATCGCCCGGCGCCGCTGGCACTGCCGCGGGCTGTGCCGCCCCGGGGGCCCGGGCGCCGGGGGTCGCGGGGACCCCCTGCGTAGGGAGGGGTCCCGGGAGCCTGCGCGGGGACGCGGCGCGCTGGGGCAGGGGAGGGGGTCCCAACTGCCCTGACTGGCTCTCGGCTCGCTCTCTCCGGCCTCGGAGCCTCTCCCCGCCTCCCTCTCTCTCTGGCTCTCTCAGTCTCTCAGTCTCTCTCAGTCTCTCTCAGTCTCTCTCTATCTCTCTCTCTCTCTCTCTCTCTCTTTTTTTTTTTTTTAGCGCCAAACTACGTGCCGCGAAATTCGGATCTCCCGCGGAAAATGCCGCGCTTTGATTGGCTGACGTAACACGTAAGGCCCCGCCCCTCCGCCCCCGCCCCCGGAAAAGAGTCCTCTCCAGAATTGCACTTGCTACCCCGGCGCCTCCGCTTAAAGGGGCCGTAACACCTGCTGTCCCTACCGACCGTCCCCAGACGATTGCAGCCCAAGAAATGACACCGAGGGGGGTTCTGGGACACAGTGCTGAGACGCTTAGAGCTGCGTACAGCACGCTGAGAAATGAGCCGGAGTTCCAGGGAGATGGGGGGCGGCGGGCGGGGGGGCGAGGGGCGAGGGGGGGTGGAACCAATCTTTTGTGGGGAGCAGTCTAGATCCTTCAGTGTATTTCCCAGGCCACAGACTTAGCTGGATTATATGTACATTTATATCTCTCCTCCCCACCACCCATTAGATGAAAGCCAGGAACCTGTCCCTTTGTTTAGCATAACTCAGAGTAGGAAAAACATTTATTGGGTTCCTACAGCGTGCCAAGTACCAGGGCAGATTATGGCCTGTGTTGTTTTGTTTAATTCACTCTAACGACCATGAAAGGTGGGAAGATGATCCCGTGGTAAAGTTGGAGCCTCAGAGGCAGAATAACTTGCCCAAGGTCAAAGAGAGATTTACTGATTTGAAAACTGGCAATCAAATCTAGCACAGTCCAGCTTTGGAGCCCCTGTTCCTTTCAGAAAAATGTTCAGATCTCTCTTGAGCCTTTGGCAGGCCCAGCAGGTGTCAGGGTCCACAATGCTGAGTTTCTGCCAGTCCCAAGGCTCAGTTAAATCCGTAAACATCTCCAGGTTTCTCTGAGACAATCCTTTGAACACTAGAGCCTCCCTCCCTGATTCAAAAGCCTTCCCTGCAGTGAGTCCACTTGCATTCCTGGTCTGTCTAGTTCAGACATGCTCAGAGAGGTGACCTTTGGTTGTGAGTAGCAGAACTACCAGCAGTGGCTGGTCTCTGTCAATTCCTACTAGTGCCCTGTGATTTTTTTTTTTTTTCCTGTACTAAGAGGGCTGACATTCAAAGCCCTAAAGTCGGTCTTAAATTTGAGGCTCATCAGATCACTGAGGATGAGCTCACCAGCATTCCTGGACTCAAACCCAGACCCTGCCCCTTTACTAGCTGTGTGACCCCAGGCAAGTTGGTTTTTTGTTTGTTTTTTAATTCTCTGAGCCTTGGTTTTCTCATCCCTAATAACACTTATCTCTTGAGTTGGTGGGGAAATCTCAAAGATAATGAGCATAAAGCATTCTGCCCCAAACCTGGTTCATCAGGAGCTTCCAGAATTGGCAGCTGTTGCTACAAGTCCAACCTTATCTCCAGGACACAGACCCCTTTTCTCTGAGTCTGCATATCTCACTGGTCCTTTGAGATCTGGCTTAAACTCACCTCCTCCTAGAAGCCTTCTTTGCCTGCTTCTCCTCTCTTGGTCAGAGTGCCTCTTGCCTTCTTTGAAGTAGCTCCTTCCAAGGTCCAAGATCTCTCTGCCCCTCAGCATTTGGGATCTGGTTAGGCATAATCAATAAAAAAAAAAATATCAAAGACTAGCAGAAGTTAATGAGATCTGAAATCAGGAAGTCAGGCAGGCTCAGAAAGTCTTAGTTAAATTTCTAAACTTAACAATTTTGTTTTGGTCAGTTGTGGGACTTGAACTTTGGGCCTGGTCACTGTCCTTGAGATCTTCAGCTGAAAGCAAGCTCTCTACCACTTTGAGCCACAGCGCCACTTCCGGTTTTCTGGTGGTTAATTGGAGATAAGAGTCTCATGGACTTTCTTGCCTGGGCTGGCTTTGAACCTCAATCCTCAGATCTCAGCCTCCTGAGTAGCTAGGATTACAAGTGTGAGCCACCAATGCCCAGCTAGCTTAGCAAATTTGAACTCAATGCTCTGCCTTCCTTTTTTTTTTCTTCTTCTTTTGCTAGTACCAGGACTTGAACTCAGGGCCTTGTGCTCTTTCCATAGCTGGCACTTTACCACTGGGCCTATGCCTCCTGTCTGACTTTTTGCTGATTAGTTGGAGATGGATTCTCATGGACTTTTTTTTTTTTTTTAAACTCTGGGCCTGGGCGCTGTCCCTCAGCTCTTCAGCTCAAGGCTACCACTTGAGCCACAGCACCAGTTCTGGTTTTCTGGTGGTTAATTGGAGATGTCTCACAGACTCTACTGCCTGGGCTGACTTTGAACTGCAATCCTCAGATTTCAGCCTCCTAAGTAGTTAGGATGACAGAAATGAGCCCCTGTCTGGCACCTGGTTTGTCCATTTTTCTTTTCTCTGTGATCCTCAGATCTGCTTCCTGGCTTTGTACACCTTTCTTAAGTTCACTTTCTCCAGATGTCCATTACAGATAGAGCTATCTCTCAGCCTATTTCTCGGGACTTAGGAGACATTATTACCATGGCAACAATGATGATATTTGCTAGTCTTTGTTGAGAATCTATGGTGTGCCAGACTGTGAGCATCTCCTCTGACCCCCACAACACACTGTCATTATCCCCATTTTACAGATGAGGGAATCTGGAAGGAATTGTGGCAGAGCAGGTTTGGAGAAGAAGCAGGGCCCCAGGGCCAGGGAGGGAAATGGGGGTGGCAGGGTGGGGCTGGGAGGAAAGAAGGGAGCCAGTGGAAGGGGGCTGAGAGCCAGCTCTCTGTGGTTCAGTTTCGGGCAGCTGGGGCTGACTTTGGAGTTTCACTGCCTGGGAACCTATGAATTCCTATAAGAGGTGTGGGCCCAAATCTGAAGCCTGTCTCCCTGGGCCTGGTTCCTTACCCCATCCATTTCTTGCCTGATCTTAGGACCTTTCTGATCTTCAGTTTCCTATCCTTTAAATGAAGATGGTAGAAATGAGTCATTGTGGAGACTCAGGAAGGAGGCCAGGCACATAGTACCACTTCATGTAATACCCAGCTATTTACATGCCTTCTATTTATTTATCTTGGTGCTTGGGATGGGTCCCAGGACTTTGCACCTGCTGGGCAAGCCCTCCAGCCCTGTGCCACTACATGCATTAATCTGTTGAAACCTCCCAACTACTACCAGTATAATTTGAATAGATAAGGAATTGAAGGCAGAGACATGTACCTTTACTTGACCAAAGGCTGGTGAAAGATGAAATCAGGAGCTGGAAGCAGATCTCTGATGCCAAAGACATTGAGATCATTTGGACAAAGAAGCCTTGGGGAAGAAGGAATGTTCTGCCAGTAAACCAGGGGTTCCAGGGCTCCAGATCGCATTGGAAGCAGAAAGACGGCACCCAGAACTGGACAAGTTAGGGACACTGAAGACTGTTTTCCACATGAAGAAACAGTGGCATGGGAAGTTAACCCATCAGAGTTCACAGAGCTGATTAGCCATGAAGCCCCAACTATAGCCTGGGCTAAAGAGTTCATCTGTGGCTAATAGCCTAGTGATAGAGCACTTGCCTAGCATGTGCAAGGCCCTGGATTTGAACCCAGCTTCATAAAAGGAAGGAAGGAAAGAAAACATGGCCATTTCAGGGAACTACTACTAATGAAAAGAACTTTTTTTTTTTTTTTGCCTGTCCTGGAGCTTGAAATCTGGGCCTGGGCACTGTCCCTGAGCTAGCACTCTACCACTTGAGCCACAGCTCCACTTCTGGCTTTTTGTGGTTAATTGGAGATAAGAGTCTCGTGGACTTTTTTGCCCATGCTTGCTTCAAATCATGATCCTCAGATCTCAGTCTTGGTAGTAGCTAAGATCACAGGTGTGAGGCACCAGAGCCAGCTTGATAATAACATTTTTTTTTTCCTGGGTCCGGTCGTGGGGCCTGAACTCTGGGCCTGGGCGCTGTCCCTCAGCTCTTCAGCTCAAGGGTAGTGCTCTACCACTTGAGCCACCACACCACTTCTGGCTTTTTTTCTTTTTGCTAATGTGGTGTTGGGGAATGGAACCAGGGCCTCATGCATGCAAGGCAAGGGCTCTACCACTGAGCCACCTTCCCAGCCCAGATAATAACATTTTTTATTGGGAAATTAACTTGCTATAATATGGGGCTTATGGATTTTCCAACAGTGACTAGTGCACAGTACATTTTATGTAAATCCATGTTAAATACTTTAAATCCCAAGTCCTAACACTTCTTAAGTTGCTGCTTTTCAAAGTGAGCTGCCAGGTATCCGTGGCTCACGCCTGTAATCCTAGCTACTCAAGAGGCTGAGATCTGAGGAGAGCAGTTCAAAGCCAGCCAGGGCACCAGAAAACTGGAAGTGATGTTGTGGCTCGAGTGGTAGAGGGCTTGCCTTGAATTGAAGAGCCGAGGGACAGCGCCCAGGCCCAGAGTTCAGGCTCCAGGACCGGACCCCCCCCCCAAAAAAAAAAATAAAAAGTATCTGAGCTATTTGGTTCCTGCACCTGAGAAACAGGGGTCATTTGTTAAGTTTCATAGGTTATTGTGAGATGGGATATGAACATAATGTGTGTGTGAATATTAAGAAAGCCAAAGTGGTGCTGTGGC